GTGCCTTGTTGTAAATGTCGAGAGCACATCCAGTGTCATGGTAAAAGATATCTAAATCCAAGAAGTAAGCCTATGACCACAGTGGGTGCTCTTAAGATCCAGGGTATCGTCATATATGCCTCGGGCGATGGCCGGGAAGCTGGAATTGTTAATTACTAAAAGTATGATTTAAATTTCGTAAGTCAAACGTAAGCAAAGAACACATATGTAAAGTCCCAACCCTTAGCGTGCCCAGTTTCCGAAAACGTTTCCCAGCCGAAATATCATTCACGTATCTGCATGATGGAGCTAGGAGGACGTGAATGCTACTTTTATCTCCAGAAAAAATTTCAACTTCACAATTTCATAGGTGTGGAGATCGAAATATATTTTGCTGACAAATACATATACACACGTACATAAGTAAGAACACAAACACACAGACACACACACACACACACAGCGCCTTTCCACAGTATGCATTTTTGCATTGCGCAGACACAAAAAACGCATAAAAATGAAAAGGCCGGTAGCATACGTTGCTTAAAATCTGGTTTAAGTCAACACAAGCAGGGCTTAAAATACACACATTGAAAAGATATTTCGTCTCAGAAACCGCAACCGGATCGCTGTTTCATTACAAAGTTTGTGATGCACATATCAGAGAAGAAATAAAAACTTCATTTCAGTTTACTTTCTTGAAATGTGACAGAAATCGTAATCGCATTAAGTTGCTGATGCAAACACTCAACCACACATTTACATTTACTTATTTCTGGATATTTTGCTCCTTTTCTGAATAATTCTCAAAATAAAAAAATAAACAGAAATGAAGTTTTGAAAATGCGCATATGAATAAGAAGAAAATTAAAACAATAAAAAGTGATTTCACGAGTGATACGAAGATCGTTAACAAAACCAGTGTGGAAATTCCATGTTGATAATACGACTGAGAAGCACTCACACGCTGGAAGCAGCTATGTCAGAAGAACAGTGATTTTTAGTAGGGAAAATTAGAGATCGTCAAACTTGCTCGCTGTACGTTCCATTTTCCTTTTTGTTCCAGCTGCCAGCGTCGCCAAAACTTCGGCTTCAAAATCGGCAAACTGAGTAGAGGTCATCGCACGCTCTGCAAATTTCGGATTTATTCACCAAATTTTGTGTTTTAAGGAATCGCTCGTTCACTAACAAGTTTAGACAGTGAAATTCAGTAGAAGACAGGAATTGACGAAGAAAAACACTGAACCAGAAGGCGATTGCGGAGTGGGTAATGGATTCTTTATGAGCAACGGAGGTCCTCGCAAACGTACAACGGACACTGGATTCTCCGGTTTACCGCTTTCTCTTATAATCCCTTCCTGGAATATACAAATCCAAATAGTTTCAACATCCAGGAGCACGAATATTAAATCGAAAACTCGAAACTATTACTGGAGCACCGTTTTCGCTAAGCGGAATTCATAGCAGATAAACAATCTTTCACCTCATCCTTCAGTTTGCTGAATTCAATAATCGCAGAGCCCCTGCCACTGCTTGATACAACAACGTCCGAAATGTCTCCGTACTGAAACTGTTATAGATGTGTAAAGGGAAATGCGAAGCGAACTGACCAAACCTCTCCGTTTATCGTTCCCTGCTGTTCTTCACTTAAAAATTACCACCGATCACTCGATTTACTACACTCTGCACGACTCAAAACACCCTATCCGTCCCAGCTTTCTTCCATACAGAATTAATTTTTCAATCAGCAAAATCCAAGTGGTCAACAATTTCGGTATTCCGATCATAAAAAACATGACAGTACATAGCATACTTTATTACTGTACCAGTAATTCATTTCACAGAGCCTTATTTTGGATTTTGGCAACAGGAGGTAATCTATAACTGCCTTAGCAAACTCGGAGGCAAGCGAACAGATTAATCACTTTAGAGACAACTGCCCCTCTCTGCTCAAACTGGAGGACAGATAGACATACCTTAGAAAATAACTGGCGGATATCTTCTTCACAATAATCCCGCTCACTCACTTCCCGTTCCCATCGTAGTTTATAGCGGGTAAATGGCGCTAAAAAATTTTCAAATCAAAGTCGATAAGAAAGACATAAGTGAAAAGATATTAGTGAAATATACATACAGTCATTAGCGCAGCCCTGCTTCGTCGAAGTGTCTCTGTGGACTTCGCGCTCAACATTTTCCCTTTCGCGCTGCAGCAATTTCGAACCTTCTCTTCGTAAACGCTCGATCTGAAATCCAAAAGAACCAAAACGTGAAGCGTTTTCTTCCAAAATTTCAAAACCAACATCCTACCAATTTTGCAGTAAGGAAGGGAAAATGTGGCCCAATTTCAAACTGCAGTGAAACTCCAAGCTGCAACGCACCACGCCTGCCGATGTGATCACGCGTTTTTGCGTTGAACTTGCAGCAGCCACATCATTAGCAACAGGTACGAATTCAGCCTTGTGCTTTAACATGCTGACTCTTGCTATTGTGTTTGGCTTTTTAGACTGGTAAAAGAGCGTCGGCTGGGATGGTAGAGCATAAACTCATGAGGCAGCGTAAACTTCAGCACGCGTGACTTTCAATTTCGCATGAAGCCCGGTCGCTTTCCTGGTAAGCGGTGTCCATTGAGAAATGCAAATTTTACGACGCATAGGATGCCGGAAGAGAATTATGAAATCAGCAAAATGTACTCGTTTTTGAGTTTGTGATAAAAGTAAATATTTGTCATGTCCGCACATAGCGAATTTCACCTCCAAGCTGAATTAAGACCGAACATGAGCACAGAATATTCCTGTAAAGTTCCAGCCTCGTGGCCTGAAGTAAGCGAACTCACCTCCCCACTACAAATATCTTTGGCGTGCCCTAAGGCGTGGTCCAAGCGCAATCCATTTAGGCATAAAATTGGAACGGAAATAAAAAAAAAAAACCAACGAACTTCTTTTTCCAACTGCTTTTTGGCAGTCTCCTCTTCCTTCCGGGCATTCGCAGCATCAGCTTCTCGCTTTTCCAACTCTTCTCGTAGTTTCCGACGTTTTTCGTTCTCATTTCGTTGTCTTTGTTGGACATAGGCTTCACGCGCTGCTTTGGCTGCCAGAACATGATCGTAAGCAGCCCGAGCTGTCACATCCGACAGCAGCGCGAATGCCTTCGATATTTTCAGGAACATATCCTGTGCTAAACTTCCAAAACGTTTTTCTCCAAACATTAGTGGAAAAAAAAAGAAAATATATCATTTTACGAACGCAGCCTTCTCCTCAGACCAGTAATTTTGCAGAAAAAAAAGTCATTCCCGCACAGTTTACCCTTTATTTTTCTAAAATATAAAACACGAAATTCGCAAGGAGCGCCGCCACAAAAAACATATATCACTGGAATGCACTGACATGCTAGACATCTCTTATCTCTTCTGCTCTGCGCTTCATACACCCAGTCTGTACTGAGTCGGTACACCATCTCTTCCAAGGCCCTCAGACAAATTACCCTTTGCCAGCACCAGAAACATCACAAGAAAAAAAGAGCGATACCAGTCTGGATGCGATCCGGATTCTTGTCGGGATGCCATTTTAGTGCTGCTCTCCGGAACGCTTTCACAATTTCTGCGTCAGTGCAGCCTCTTTCCAAATACAGTATTTCATATGGATCAAAGTCCAGCAAAGGCTTTCCTGATGCCATTTTCTCGCCTGTCACATCTAATACACCTAGAAATTTAAAACAATGAAGATAGGCTACACAGAACGATACAGTGACAAGTAGCGCTGCTCCCATCATAACCGACGAGTCGACTATTGTAGTACGACAACCAATCCCTCCACGACCTGCGCACCTGCCCCGACAAAAAAAAAAAAAAAAAAAAAAAAAAA